GATAGATTTTCATACTTAAGCTTGCATTTCAGCGTCTATAATGACCAAATCAGTTAAAATATTTTACAAAAAACTAATTGAATCGACTGAAGTAGACACTTAAGTGTTTAAAAAATATAAAAAATCTTTCATCAGATGTAAGTCAAATTTTAGGCCAAAATTAGCCCTTACCGGACCTTCTCCTTTTAGGGGGAGGGGGACGATTAAAGACTATGCAAAAACAGTCTTACTTGCGAAGCCTACTTTGATATTCTATATGACAAAAAATAGCAATTCTTTTTGTAGATTTAGAACTTTGAACACAAAAATTTCTATTGAAATTGGTAGATGGCAAAATAATAAGAGAGAAAACTTTATTTGTACTTTATGTAATTCCAGTGATATTGGCGACGAGTTTCATTATTTTTTAGAATGTTCGGCAATAGACTAAAAGAGACAAATGCTGTTTAAACAGGGGTTTTGACCCCCAAGAATGCCACATTTTGCAATGAATTTTATCGATATTTTTTAACGTTTTCAAATGAAATAAATTGAATGGAAAATTTCCCGGCTTTGTGAAGATTTATCTATTGGCTTCAATATTTACAAACAAAATGAAAAGTTTATTTAACATTTTTGCAAAAACAGTATGTTTATTATTTTTCAAAGGGAAACCTTTTTTGTTTGCCAAGTTTACTTGTATGTGTTTATTACCATCACTAATCACAGTGAAACTCCTAATTATTAAAGATCAAACGACCTAATCAACATGATACTTGGTTATGCATATCCCCAAAAACGGCATGTGTCGATAAAAACTTAAATAACTTTTCAAATATTGAATTGATTTTATGAAAACAAAAATTATAAGATCAAAAATTTAATTATCTATCGAATGCATACCCTTAACGCACACTAAAACATCTATTACATGTCCTGAGTGCACTTTTTATGTTCTGAGCGGTATTTAGACGTACCGTAATGTTAGTGGCCAAATAAGGCTAATTCGATAACCAGGTGTTTAGTGTTCGGTGACCCGTATCGACGCACACTATACATGCATGTATCAGACAAATTAACAAAAAAGCTAATCGCCAACCCAATCAAGGATGTCCACCTCGGCTTTAAATCACATGTTACAGTCGGTTGAAAGTTACCTGTGTATATTTAGTTCTAACTTTTAATCTAAAAAAAAAGAAATGCATGCATATGCACAAGCCTTACATGTTTGCACATTTTATTTCTACAAATTACCAAACTATTTCAACTCTCTTCTCGAATGTACTTTTAAGGATAATGATACAATGTAAAAGAGGGGTTAAAATAGTCAGTTTTAAAACATGCTATCGTGTTACCATTAAAAAGACAAACTATACAAGAACTGCACATAAGGTTTAGACATAGGCTTTCCATGAAGATTATATAAAATTAGATCATGATAAGTTGTATGTATACCTATGGAAGATTTGCATGTACTTTCACGACAGTGGCTGCATGACTGCATTCTCTATAGACGATACGTTGATGATCATATTTTTTTTGGAAAATTGAAATTATCCCACACCAAATTTACTCTTTTTAAACACTTATTTCCTAAATGAATTCATATTATACACAGACCTTGCTGAGTGAACATGTTTAACTTGAGATATTTTTAAAACATCTTCACAAAAAAAAGAATCACAGTATCACAGCTTAACGTGTTACGGTCTATATATAAATATATACAGACTTTGAGCTTCAAAACATGATATCATCTATGAAAATGATCGATTGATAATTGCTTAACGTCCAGTGGGAAATATTACATGCATGTTCAGAATTTTTTTTATAAAAATAAAATGGGCGTTGATGGCAGATATTTCATTGTTTCCGTTAAATCAATTCTCAACTGTTATACACTATACGGGTAAACCTGTCTACTGTTATTGACTGTATGTTGGTCTTGTGATGTCTTCTGCATATTGTTTTTGTGGGGTTGCTGTCTTTTCACTTATACACAATATATTCTTACAACTGTACATTGAATTTCATACTTGTCGGGTTGTTAAAATAATTGAATGTCGTGGTAACGAGCAGTATTTTAGATTTTAAAGTATAATCGTGGAATAAAAACTTTACATACTTGGACATTGCTCATTTTCTTGATCAATATAACTGACAAATAAAACCCTCAAAAATTCGATTCATTTTTACTGTTAATTTTCACTGAAAAGAACAATTAAAACACAACACGTGAGAAAATAAACGGAAGCTTCAAACAAAAGTGTTCATTATATAATAATAAAATATTTCAGACTGTCTGGTGGAAGAGTAAATGTTGATATTTGGTTTAACGTAAACAGAAACATTAGTTCATCAATATTAGCATTTATTATACATAACCGCTGGCAGTGACATTTTTTTCAAAATATAAATAAGGAGATGTTGTATGATGCCAATAAGACAAATTTCAATCAGAGTTTCAATGACAAATATATCAGCAATTATATGCCTTCAACCAATACAGACATGTACAGACCGAATAATATGTCTCTTGTGTGTTTATACTTGTCATTTCATATTTAATTTGTCAACCGACCAGAGGAGGGATGACATTCTGCATACGACACGCATATTGGACTTATATTATCGATCGGTCGCAGTCACCTGGACAATGGAAATTTGTTGGATGATATTATACACATAAGCAATAATATACAGTTGTGATGATTATATAATATACATACATGTATACATAATAATTGAATTTGGTATTTGTCATTATTTGCCAGGTATATACGAATTTATCCCTTTATCAAACTGCTATTTTCCCCGGTGCTTTTTTTGTACGGCATGGACATTATAATTGAATACTCGTTTATTAAAGTAATTTTAACAAAGGAGTAGGTCCAGTAAGACCCCTTTTTGGCCCCAAAATATAGCAGTTTTACAAAGTTGTTAAAATGTAAACTTTTAGCTATTTATTGGAAAGAAGAATACTTCTGTTACATAAATATGGGCTGTTTTTGACAATACAATGCACATGTATCGGGTACTAGCATCATTAAGTCATGCTAAATTACTGAAATCTTCACAATTTTAGCATTTGAGTTAATTTTTAGACGGTTTTCGTCTTAAATGGAAGTGGCCGCATTCGTGTTCATTCTTAATATTTAAATGTAAGTTGTATTTGATGATAATACATATCATATATAAAGGTCGAGGATGAACACGAATGCGGCCACTTTCATTTTTGACAAAAACTATCTGAAAAGTGACATATTATGGCATAATTGAGAGATTTTTAATATTTAAGCCTTCATTTGAGCGTCTTTGGTGACTAAATCGGCCCAAATCTTTCAGATAAACTAATTGAATCTACTAAAGTAGACACTTGAGTGTTTAAAAAGTGTCCAAAATATTTCATCAGATGAACCTGAAATTTGAGGCCAAAATCGGCCCTTACCGGACCTACTCCTTTTGGGTTTTTATTTTGGTCAAAATTTTATGTTATACAAGATTATAAATATTAGACTCTTTTTTTCATTTGTCATTAAAAAAAAGAAAAACACCAGAAAACAAGTAAAATACGAAGCCAACCAATATCCAAATTAAACATGTAATTTAAAAAAACAAAAAGCTATCTTACATGTTTTGTTTTGTTTGTTTTTTTCCGGGGGGGGGGGGGGGGGGGTGATCATTTTTATTTCAATTATCTTGAATATCTAAAATACACAATACATGGTATTTGTTGCTAAGGTTTACGTATAAATTTACGTATTTACTCACGGATTTGACAACTATTTTTTGACATTTTATTTGAAAATCGTCGTTTTTTAGCGACTCATTACGCAGCAATGAATGGAGACTTAAGGAGCCTTTTATGTTTTAGGCTGTATAAACAATATTCTTTAACACTTATAAATTTCGATTTTTTTTTACTTGCTAACTAACGAAGTATTAATAAAAGCTTGTGTCTAGTATTTTTACAGACCTCGAATAAAAATTCCTGTCATTACGGAACATAATCTTTATAGATACAATTTACCAAAAAGAAGTAAAAAATACATTACAGTTTTTATGTAAAAGTTATTTTTGATCATCAATATTTCTTTCCATTTGAAAACTTGCTATATTTTTATGATTGCAATAGAGTATATTTGATATTAAAACATAAACAAATATACATTGCAAATTGAATGATATTCAATGAATTTTAATCTCATAAAACTACATGTCATAGTTACAGTTAAAATTGATTTTTACAATAACAAAGTCTAATTGTCAAGTCCGATTTAATCAATTGAGTATACATTTTTTAAAGGTTTAAAGTTGTAGAATTTTAACGAAAGCCGTTAAAGCTAGGTAAATTTGTACGCAATTCCGAAAAAACATATTTCATTTTAGTTGTAATTTATGCTCATTTAACCCTCACATATATTTTATTTTGGACAATTGAACAAAGCAAACAAATTTTCACGGAAGGACATGAATATAATTGAGAAATCAGGGTATTACAAACAAGCTCGAATAAAGGGAGACAAACCTTATTAATCTGCACAAACAATTTTATGTCAAAATTGATAGATTTACCTGGTACTGGATGCTACTGAAAATTCCCAATCAACTATTTTATCGATGAACTGACGTGTACTAAAATGTACTAAACAGTACTGGATTTAACGCTACGGGTTTTTTCTTAGTTACCTAAACCAGTACTGACTGGTACTTAATCGATCGCGATAGTTAGTGTACTGAACATGTACTGAACAACTGAAAAAGATCTTGACATTTTTCCTTGCGGTAAATTCAGGCATTTAAGAGTTGTTCAGTTTAAAATTACCGTTTCAGTAGTAAAACCCGTTACTAGTGAGAAGACATGCACACATGTATTTTCAAATTTTGTAAAATACTATTTTTGTGTATTCTTAGGTTTCTTACATGGTAAACACACGAATAAACAATGAAAGTAGTAACTTTACATAGTACTCAGGGTACTGCTAGAGAATATGTTTATAATGTTGTCTCTTTATTTATAGGTAAATGGTAAGCATATCGTCAAAAGTGGAACAGATTTTCGCAATCTTAGTAAAATAACGTTCACTTTCACCTCTAGTGGTTTGAAAGTAGATGTAGAAAGAGTAGATTTAGATTCCAGTATACCCGAGGATCCACAGATCCAGAAGATTGTTGCACATTTAAATGGTTGGTATACACTTTCCTGTCTTCAGTTACATGCTTGTCAAGCCTGTGACAAATGTTGTAGAAGCAAGACATAGCGATCCTATATTCTGTCATTTGCAGCGTCATCATTAAGGTTAAGTCTGTTGTTAAAGTTTAACTTTTTTCAATAACTTTCAGTGTTCTCCCCAGGATTTTTGGATAGCACCAGGGTAACGCGTGTGGACTTCTTGGTGAAATATTTCATGCAATCAGTTGTGTAGCGTCGCGTCTCTTAGCTCTAGTTACTGTAGTTTTTATGTCTCTTGTTTTGTTTTAACTTAACACTGTGGTACTGTGTTATGTAGACATTGATTCAGAAAAATTATTGGTAAAAAAGAAGTTAATAAAAAAACAGTTTGTATACTCTAATATTTTTTTTAAATAAATAAATTATGATTCATAATAAAATATTCATCTGAATTTAAAGTAATTTAATCTTTTATAAAATCCAAAATCAATAAAAATAAAATATCATTCAAAAGAGAACAAAAATGTTCAATTTAAAAAACTTTATAGTTTCTAGAAAAAAAGTTGTTGTATGTGAAAGGATTCCTGTCATAAGAAGATATTAAATTAACAAGAACAATTGCAAATATTGTTTTATTATTTGAACCAGTTTCTATCTTAGATTTTAATAAAAAGAAATTTTTCATAAATTTTAGAACATTTTGCCATAGATTTCATGTAAATATTAACCTTTCTTGTCTTTGGTTATAATCAAACATAAATACAGACTTAATACTGCCCTAAAATCTAAATCTTTATTTGTCATGAACCATTTAAAAGAATTCCTAAATCTATAAATTTATCTTTGGTCAATAGATCTATAAGTAGCCATATTCAATGTCAACAACTAAGTCTCCCTATTTTCCCGCCTAAATGACAGGAAGTAGATATAAATAGATTAAACATGTGCTTATGGATAAAATTTGCAAGATTACTTCTGTTATTCATTAATTATGGATATAGATATCCAGTTTGAAGGTATAGTCATGCATTTTATTTATAAAATATAATAGATTGCAATTAATTGTAAATAAACTTGAATATTCTACGTGAACTGACTGGGTCATGTGATATGTACAGACAGATACTACAGTTTGAAACCCGACTATCATGCAATAACTATGTCATAATTAAAGATAATATTGGCCATCACTACTGGACGAAAAAACAACTGTCCATACCAGTAACAGTTGTTGTACGACTGTCTTAGTCTGTGGAAGACTGAAGATGACTGTCAAAGAAACTGATACAGTTGATTAATGTCTGTCCCAACACTTTTATGGGTTGTGAAAATCAAAAAATGTTATCAACAGTCATTTAAGGACTGTTGCAGTGGTTTACGGGGTTGTCACAGTCAAATACTATGTATTACAGTCTTTCCAAAAGTTGTGGCAGTTGTATAATGTTTGTCCCAACCTTTTAATAGTTGGGACAGTTGAAATTTGTTTGTGTCAACTTTTCAGACGTTGATGCAGTCAAAAAATGTTTGTTACAACGTTTTTAGAGTTGGGACAGTTGTAAAATGTTTGTTACAACTTTTAAAAGGTTGTTACAGTCATAAAATGTTTATTACAAATTTTAAAAGGTTGCTACAGTCGTTAAATGTTTAAAACAAACATTTCATAGGTTGCTACAGTCGTTAAATGTTTAAAACAAACATTTCATAGGTTGTTGCAGTCGACAAACATTTTAGCGTCACGGTAGCAACTCAGTGTAAGAAAAAAATTACGTTTCACCCGGCTCTCAAGATTGGATATAGTTGTGAAATAGCCCATAATTTATACTATTATCATCTATTGTGCGGTTGTTGACTTGTTTTTTTTTTTATTTATTTATTTTGCGATCGTTGTTTGTCTTTTGTCGTTTTCCGTTTATTGCCATAGCATTGTCCGTTCATTTTTGACATGTGCGTTTGACTTTCCTTTAGGTATCTTTACTTTTTATTTTATCTATTCAGATTCGTTCATAACTGGTTTTACATACCAGAAGCCTTCGTTTAAAAATGGAGTTTTAATATTATTGCAGAAGATGCTAATGAATTCATTCAAATTTATATTTGAAAAAGTTTTGATAAATTCTGAGAAATAGAAAATCGGTACCGTCGGTGTACCTGAAGTAAATTTAAAGAATATTACTAAGTGACCAATATTGTACAGCATAATAAAACAGTTTTAATTTGAATTACTGTCCATGAGGGATATTTCCGATGATGATTAAAATAATTAATTAAATCTGTCAAGTTTCATTAAAAACGGAAAACAATTCTTCACCGTGAACGATTTACCCTCTTTATTTTCTTGTCGGCAAACTGGACCTGCAGGTCGGCAAACTATATTTTACACAGGAAACTACAGATGTTAGACCACATGTACAATATAAGCTGAGCTGGAAATTACAATCGGTGAGTAGAAATGAACAATATTTTAAAGCATGTCTATCGAATAATCATGGATCCAAGATTTTGAAGGGAAAATGTGCCCATTTGTTCTTCCTAGACAGGCTATGAATGAGGGTCGTAATGGGGGTACCTTCATGACGAATAACGATAAAAAATCTTGCCAAATGACGTTAACAGTAATTTTTGGTGCATGACGATAAAATGTACACTTTCTTTTAGACGGTACAAAAATAGACTGATTTTGACGAATCACGTTAAATTTTTTCCAAAAATAACGGTAACGATAATTATTTGAGACCTCTGACGAATCACGATAAGGATATTTTTACGAATCACGGTAAAATTTTAACCAATTTGAAGCTAACGGTAGCCGAAAATGACCGTTTGACGCCTGACGGTAAAGGGCATTACTACCCTCATGAATCGACGATATGTATCACCACACTCGTGCATAGTTGCATGTTCCAAGGCAAAGTTAGGATTTGGGCTTGGAAAAGTTGTGCATCCTTGAAATTCATGTATGACACCATTCCCCCTCCCCCTTTTATCATGTGTATGTCATTTAATCCCTTATTTACTTTGCATACATCACCCTAAGGATGACAAGGTCAAGGGAATAAAAAAAGGTTACTCTTGATCTTCATCGTCTTACTGTTAAACTCTAAAATGTGGGGCATTGGTTAACTTTTGTTGTGCGGGATGGCCTTTTACAGGACCTATACATCTAGTCCAAATAATTATGACGTCTTGCAAGTAGGAAGGCGTCACAGAAAAAAATTAAAATAGCCTTGCAAGACGTCATAATTATTTGGGCTTCTATACGTCATGTACATATTGTATTTTAATATATTGTTAACTCTCTGGTCTTAAATTTGCATGAAATACTTGTCACTGGACTTTTTATAACCAACAACCAACCAATCTTTACATGTACATATCCATATAATTGTGTTACTAATGCTGGATTACAAGTATTTCCCTGGTTTTGCTTTATCAGCTGATAGTTTTCTTTCTATTAAGAATGCATTGTGACGTCACATTGAATTTCCATTGAAAAAACCTGCATAGTACAAATTAATATGACCATAAAATTTTATGAAAATTATTCATTTTAGTAACTTATTTAGCAAGTATGCATTTTCATTCAATTTTTAAATAATTCCCAAATCATGGACAACAAAACATGAATATATTTGATAATATAAGGCATTGAAAATGAATATGTATTAGATGGTTCAAAATAACATTAATCATCAAAATAAAACAATATTATTAAATTAATGTTCCTGAAACCATGCACAGAGTCATAATGGTCATAACAGTTGCCATTTAAACACAGTTGATTAAACAAAATGTGCTAATTCAATTAGTAATTTTTATCATGTACTTAAGGATTCATATTGAACAAGGGTTGTGGAGGTTGTTGCATCTTTTATCAAAATGAATAATTACAATGAATAAAATATCCATAAATATTTCATCATGTTAATTGCTACATGTACATAGTTTTAAGTTAAAAAGAAATAAAAAACATATTAAAAGAGCAAAGTTAGCATCATAATTATATTCTTTTTAGATTTAACATAGAATATTAAATCACTATACATTTGTAAATACTTTGAACCTAAACTATATATTTTCATGTGAAATTTTTATATAAATTGTGCCCTGTAGCATGGTTAGTCAAAATTCATTTATGTCATAAATGTTATCTAGTAGTAACATTCAAGGATCTTTTTATTTATTCCACCATTAAAATGATTAAAGGACTTTCTATTCATGAGTCAAATTTGTGTGTTAAATTGTGTTTTGGTTACTTTATTGTTGCCTTACTGTTGGGTTGATGCATCATTGATATATAATTATAACCCACATCTCCTTTCATCATGTGCATTCACATCTGACTGCAGATGTTTTGCCTTTTCTACATAATTATTTTATGTTTAACATTCACTATGTGGGGAAAACATAACAAAAATATCTATCTGTAAGCATATTTTTTTTTATCTAAACATGGTATAAACTTTATTAAAGTATTTTATGAAGCTCAAATTTTTTTTTATAGATATTGTATTATCAAGTAAGTTGTCATAAAATTTACTGTGTTAACTGCATAATATGTCTAATAATTTAGTTTAAAAATACCTTTTATTCAAATTCAAAATAAATAATTAAAATATATGCATTTACTGAACATGAATTCACATGATTCATGACCATGCAAATGTGACATTAAAATAGGTAATAATCAGGATGTTAACACTGGATAGGTAATAATCAGGAATTCTTATATACATGCTATAGCTAATATACAGATTAAGACACACAATAGTTTATTGCCTTTGGGAGGAATTTTAAACTCATGGTTATATATTGAAGATGATTTTATAATGATGTTCACAAATTATAATTGTCCTCTTCAAAATTTTGATAATATGAAACAGAAGGATATAATATTATTTTGGATACAAAAAAATGCATATTTTAAAAGTTATCTGAGTATTGATTTATCAAAATAAAATTGGGTAAATAACTAAAATACAATAAAGAAAGTGTTGTCTGAGCTGCAAAGCATTAT